GATCGAGGAACCGCCGTGATCGGTTGCTTTATAGTCTTGCAACAATGGCTACTTGACTTTGCTTTAATCTCGTGGTCAAGTATGCCAGCTTAATATGTTTTTTGACTTAAGGGGCAACTAAGTGTCTGTTTTGTTGGGAAACATGTGATAAGCTGGGAAAGATTGCAAATGTGCATTGTGCACAACTTGACAATTCTGCGTAATTGCGACGGAGGAACAGGTTGTAGATGTCGTTGAAACTAAGATTGTATGCATAATGGTTGATCTGATATAGACTAAAACTTCGTACTATTAGCCATATATTACAGCTAATGGGTATGACAATAATGATCTCAATAGTATACTCTAAGGATAGAATTTCTTGAGTCCAAAACGAACTGTCAAAAAAACAGAAATTTTCAGGTCTACCGTAAGTTCAATTACGTATATTAGTCTGTTCGCTAATAAACTGGGGTTTCACCACTGACGCACTGGTTTTTTATACTCATTAAGTGCACCATTTACGACGTACAGACGAAGCGCACTACAAAAGTTGCGTTCCGCCGAAGAATATAGTTTTTAAGCCCTAGTCCTAAATATCAGCTTACAAGAGCCATCAGATTCATCTTTAAGAGCAGGTAAACTATTTAGAACCTTCAGTCTTTATACTGATACTGCGAGTCATTTTGTACAGTGTCAAATAGAGGAAGAATACCTATTGTTTTTAGAAGATAAGACTCATACGTAACAAGTTATATTGAGTTATGTACCATTCCATATCATAGCAAAGCCTTCTATGTTAGAGCCAATGCTAGTTATAATATCAAAATTTGTATATATTTATTTGCATATTGTATACAATTTAATTACGGAGCCTGCTAGAATATCAGATTCAATGTTGGTATAGACAAATCCAAACACCTATTGATTTGTATTGTAACCTGATCGGTAGATGTACTGGTTTCTTACTGTCAATAATTGAGTTCGTGTTCCCTTTCATGGACTTGCAATATTTGGTGAGGCCCAATATCGTGCTTTCTATTCCATCTTTCTTTAAGTTGATGACGATACTTATATAATATCTTGTACATTTCCTATTGGCGGATAAACTAGTCTTAATTCATCGTCGAAACTGAACGATTCATTCTAATTCAAACTAGCTTATTCGGATTGTCTAAGCCGCCTGTATCAAGAAGGGCTTGAGAATACAAGGCTCCTTATTAGTTCCAGCATCGAGTGGATTTTTTACCCTTGCGTACTGCGAGCTATAGCCAACAGCAGTAGCTGGCTTTTTGGGTTGCTTTGGCTAGCTCATTTGTATAGAAGTTTGGACTCCTTAAGTCCTTTCCTTAATCTCCATTGTTCGCTTGTAGAGGTCCTTTTTACCAACATATTTGGCTAGTGGAGTTAATAATTGAGCCAGTGGAGTTAATAACTCTTTTGTATCCTAGCTAGGGTTTGGTTTCTTGCAGCTGTACTGTCCTTCGATTTTACTTAGCCTTGCTTTCTTGGCTCATAGGATTGATATCGTCTAGGCCGGAGCTGCTTTTGTTTTGCGCCAGACCACTCATCAATTGGGAAGATGTTTCACTCTAAGTCAATTATTTTTCGACTTCTTTTAGATCAACTTCAAATCCAGCTTGTTGAGTGGGTAAATTGTTTTATTTTCCCGCTTCTCCTAATCCTGTAGCATCCAACTCCTCGCGAAGTGTTTGCCCTTCAACTTCCTTATCTAGGACCTGAGTTGGAGCTGCAGAGGTTGAGCTCTCTCGCTCCTTTGAGGTATTGTTAATGCCTGAGTGGTCATCGCCTGATTGGATTTGGTTGCCCTCTGACTGCTTATTCTCCGTATCGTTCATTCTAAGGAATGCACTATCAATCTAGAATATGTACAAGATGTGCAAGATTCTGACCCGTTTCGACTCAAGATCTGGCATTCTATCAAATTCTAGCTATGGCCGTGTGAGGCTATTCCTCTAGACAGTCTTACAAGAAGCCTTTTGGCGTTGAGATTAGATTATATTGAAAGTAATTCATGTTTAAGTTATTATAGCCCTTTCTCTATACGTATTTAACCGTGGGTAGGATTGAGTTTGTTGTATTTGTGGACTGTATAAATCTCATTTTCTGGATGATTAAAAAGAAAGTGTAATTAGTACTTTTAAAACGTCACCAGAACTTCAAATTAAGCCTGAAGTACGGATTTGACATTAAATTCAACCCTATTTTAGTGTTAAGACTAGCCAGATTAGATCATATTCCAATGTAATTCATGCTTACTTAGGGTTCTTTTCAATATCATTGGTCGATGCGATGTGAATAGACTCGACGCTGGCAACGTCTCCGTGTGCCACCCATTCGATTTTCATGTTGTCCAAGTACAGTTCATATGTCGTATCCTTCGCTGCACCCTTCTGGTGCCCTGCTAGGAAACATTTGAGGAGAAAATAAAAAAAATGAATTTAAGTTGATTGAAACTCTGAATGTATAGGGATTTCGGATATTCCACTATACTGCAGACAGCAGCAAATCGAATTAATACTTTTCTACCAACCAATATGAATCATAACAACTTCAATACTACACTGGAAATCTATATGTCAGACAAGCATCATAATGAAACGAAGCGTAGATGTCACTGTGATTGTTTTGAGTACTGACCTGACCGTATGTCATGGATTAGAACATCCTTAATGAGCTGGAGAACGGTTGCGCAGCTATCACCTTTGTATAGCTTTAACCGCTTTAGCACGTAGTCCTCCAATCGGGCTGTGGCCTCGTCTGATACGGTTACCTACATCGCCATCGAGATTAAGTATAATCAATTTCCACTAGTGTGTTGTCTATGTGTTACAGATAATCAGGTTGATGATGCATCCTCGAGAGTCCACCTAGCTGACGCAGTACAAGCCCACACACTCTTACATTAATCAACAAATGAATAAAACACGACCTAGCCAGACAGCTTAACATGACAAACAGAAGCAACCCAGAACAAAACATACCGATACGCAAGAATATGACTGGCAATGCAATAGAAAACGCACTGGTCAGAAACACCCGTACGCCTGGCGCATTGGAATTGTTAATGAAGATAAGTCTAACATTTACATCGCAGATACCAGCAAACGCGATGCTGCTGGAAGGACCCAACCGGGTACTTTATCCGATACGAAATGATAAATATGAGCGAATCATACGTGTACTTATGCATATAAAATTTGATGGGGATATACCCCACCCGAAACCAATGTCGATAGTGACTACGCTAGCATCACACATGTCAGATTTTCCAAAATTAGGACATATTACAACAACCAAAATTGTGACAAAGTACAACAGACGCACGGGGCAATATACACACTCGCTTCGCGACAAGTCGGCATTTTGTACAACATACACTCAACCAAAATAGCCTGATGACCCGACGGGTATTGACTGCATGAACGCATGCGTGCAGGAACTAAGAGTATGCGTATGTTCATGTTCTTCAAAATACCTGTAAGTTCACATACCTCAGGAAACCAGCGCGTGTCAATACGCAGGCATGCATACGTATAAGCGTCTGCTGCATCAGACGTACACGTAATAGGGCTGTAGTCTCTTGTCAATGCGCATGAAATAACTTTCAAGATATTTGTACAATCCCCCATAATATTTCATACATGCGATTACATACAAGGCGACTTACAGTTGCGAAAGGTGCGGCCGGTGGATTCATGATCCAGTCGGGGAATTTGACATCGCCATCTGCAATATCAGCGTACTGCCAAAGGTAGATGCGATTCAAGGGAACATTTACCTATGAACTTCGCACATGAGATGGCTATAAACCAAAGTAATTCCCAAAATCAGAGCGGTAGGGTAGATAAATTTTGAATTTCTAGTACAAACACGGACTGAGATACTTTCCCCTGAGTGTTGGGACACTTTGGCATTTCCTGATACATACAGGTATATATGGTTTCAAATCCAGAATGGGCGTCATATCGATCAAATCTGCACCCAAGAAGTACACATTGCGGCCTTCCACTTTCTCTAACCGCACCAGGGACAGCCCAATGTTATTCGGTCGATGGGGGGTCCGTGTCGAATACAGGCCAACTTTGTCTTTACCACCGAGTCGCGGAGGGGAAATTTTGGCTTTTATAGCTGCAAATTTGAAACATATTGGGGTAATCGGAATTGGGGTTTGAAATTCACTACATGAATCGCTGGCTACAAATAACAGTATAGCACATACGGTCAGACAGCACTAAGGTAGTGGCAGATACGATCGCGGACATATGTAGCATGGACTATTTGGTGCAACCTAACTTGGCTATTAACTTAAACAAAATAGGTTTGTATCCTGACAGTAAGCTGAGGTCAAATTCTAATCAGGGTGTCTGCTACTGATAATATAGCTGAGTATTGGTGGCACCGATTCGGGTAATTCTGGTAGAAACTCAAATCTCACATAGGTGTCTGCTACTGATAATTTAGCTGAGTATTGGTGGCACAGATTAGGGGAATTCTGGTAGAAAACTCAAATCTCACATAGGATGGAAGCATCACAGAGTGTTGGCACGTACAGTACAAAAATATTATCACGAGCATCTGAAAGTAAAAATGGGGGATACAAGTCGTTTATCACGTGGATTACATGTGTGGAGACATTGTCACACCGAGAGCATTCGAAAGTATATACTGTCAATTGGAGACCGGTGGCGAGAGTGACTCTGCACCCATCCAGAGTCGTGCCTCGTCTTGATTATCATGTATGTTTAGTAGGCTGCATACACAAAGGATATAGTTGAGATCGCATTGGACAGACGCGGAAACAATACTCAACTGAATATACTCATAGGAAAGACATCTCGTCCAGTATGTATTTAGTTTAACTGACGCGAAATTAACACTCACCTGAATATACGTATAGAAAAGACACATATACAATGACAACATCAAAAAAAATATTTGGTTTAGAAGACGCGGAAATGACACTCGCCCGAATAAACTCATAGGTAAGACACGTATACATTGGTAATATACACTAGAAGTATTTGGTTTCACAGACGCGAAAATGACACTCACCTGAATATACTCATACGAAAGACATATATACAATAACAACGTCTTCAAAATATATTTAAACTCTGTGCAATTACCCGGTCCGCGGGCCATGTTTGTATTGGCGTGAAACGAGTAAATGAGCCACACATGCGAGTATTCGGCCAAGCCATCCAGCGCGGCCTAGTAGGAAAAGAGAATGCGTTTGTTAAGATTGATTATAAGAAAGGGCACCATAGAGTATGTACAGCTAGTACAGAGTATAGTACTCAGAGGTGATAGACGATGCGCATGCATGGAGTTATGGACCATTTACATACACAATTATAAGCTGATGTTGCATATGCGCAAGGTAAGCTCGCAAATTCCCATGTATATCTAAAAGGACTGTCCCAACACGCGCGTCTACGACGATAAGTTATACATTTTGCACGAATGAAATGCACACTGAGTATATTAAACTTGCTCAAATATAGACAGAATCGACAGGTTGAAAGACGTAACGTCAAAACAACTTTGTGGGAAGTTAGAACGACCAATAGCACAATGTCCCCCACGTCGCATATATATATATATATATATATATACTACTACTACACACACACACACACA